TATTCATACGAGGAGGGTCCACAAAGGTCGCGTGGGCGTATTCCATTCATCAAGCCAGCGGATCGTGTGCAGATGGTCTTGCCCCGGATCGTCGAAGTGTTTTTGCTAAGCCTAGCGTCTTCGGTGGTCGCTTGGTCGGTGGGTCCTTGTCGTTGTAGCTTTTTCAGGTATCCGTGGTTCTTGCGTTTGTCTCCGCCGCGGCGTTCAATTTCAATTTCTTTTCTTTTTTCTTATTTTCTCTCGTTGGGACGCGCACAGAGAGCACATAGAAATGCATGTTGGTCGTCGCGACGACGTAAGCGTGCGATGTGGCCGGCGATGTAAATTTGATCACAAAAAGTGCGTAAAGCTTTGTAGCTGTCGTAGGCGTGGTCGTAGGATCTCATCGTAGCGTGCGAAAACTTGCGATAATTTCGCTTCGTGAATACGGAACTTTTCTTAGGTTTTGCTGTAAGATCGTTTTGTTACCTGTTGCGGATGACGAAGACGAGACAGATGAGTCGTACATATACGACTCTAGGCAGAATCGCTTCTCGGCCATCATGGCCTGGTGATGTAGCGGCGTGGCGGCATCTTCGTCCTTATTAGTGTTATCTACCCACCGCTCTCGTCGCGTTGGTCAGTTACCATTCACTCGAAGTTGCTCTGGCCGCTCCGCCGGATCCGCAATATGCTACAGCCCTCGGGTACTTCGACTATGCGAGATTGTAACACGCTGACGCCACCAAGGGGCAAGACTCATAACTACGGTACGCTTGGCCCTCCCGGATCTCCCGAGATGCATCGCGCTCTTCGACGGCTGATTTTGAAGCGCTCGCCGAAATCCAGGCATTTAGAACGAAAAATACAGCCATCCGCTTGAAATATGACTATGCGATTATCAATTACAGGTTTATCTGATTCCATTTGACTTATCTCTAGGTGTTTCCTGTATATTTTAAGTTTCGATTCAGTATCTCTTTAAGTCGATTAATTAATCGAGTAATCGGTCTCGTTCATATCCATGCATTATATTTTTAGAATGCCAAATTTAAATTTTTTTGCCTTTGCTGAATATATGATATGGTGCAATATAGCATGTCAATTGTGAATCAACCTCAATTGGTAGTTGAGAACAGTTAAAAAACACTCACACTTGCAGATTCTTACTTCAGCTGCATGAGGCAAGGAGTTTTTCTATGTTTTCCGGCAAGAGTGACCTCCTTCAGTTGTTCACAATAGGCTCTGCGGCGCTAAACGAACACTCACTTGGCATTGGAGTGTCCGGGACTCGTGTAATCTTCTGCATTTGTGTGGAGTTACAAAGATTGCCCCTACAGTTTACTTTAGGTCATAATTTCACCTAAAGTTGGCCTTCATACAGGCATACCTGCCAACTCTTCTGAATTTTTCGTAAAATGTATGAATTGGGACTAATTTTACGATTTTACGAATCTTGCTTCAAATCTTACGAAAAATACATTTTTTTTTGTTTTTTTGTTTTTGTAACTCCGTTGTTGGCGGTATCTTGCACTGCCACAAGAGGACGATAGGTACCGTCCACAGCAGCGTCGTGGTTCTTATTATCCGTCTATCCGGTGGCCACGGATCGAAAACCAATCCAAAGCTCAAAGCCTTTGTTCGTGTGTTCGGCGGTGCACGGTTGCACGTTGGTTTGGCGTGTTCAGACGTTGTTGGGCCTCATTGTTTCAGCCAGTTTCGAGGCGAGAAGTATGGCGTCTGTGTTTGTTGCACGTGTAACTGTAGCATTCTCCTGGTCACTGTGGCTTCGCGGCGCAATGCCGAACTCCAAACCTCAAAAGAGGTACTTTCAGGTGTCCCTGAAGTCCTACGCGTCGAAATTTCCGTGCTTCGTGCCGCCCAAAAAGCGAGAGAAGTTTGAATTCTGTAGCACGTGCACGTGTGATGTAAGCGTTTCGCACGCTGGCCAGGCTGACATTAAGCGTGTTTCACATGCAGCGATTTTGGCCCTGGAGCGGCGCGATTTCTGCTGTCGCGTTGCTCGTGCCGCTCAACCTCTGGTGCTGGCCAGAGCGCCGCAACGGCAGAAATCGCGCCGCTCTAGGGTCAAAACCGCTGCATGTGAACTAGGCTTTACGCTGCACATCGCTTCGCGTAACCCCCCTCGTCGCGGGACTTTTACGAATTTGGAAGTCCACAGGTTGGCAGGTATGTACAGGTGTAGCTGTCCACGTTTGTGTAGTGAAAGCGCGTTTAATTTTTACTTTATTTTGGTTGGTAAAAACTTTACGAATTAACTGGTTAAAAGATAAATTGCAATTAAAGCACTAATTGATTAATTAATAAGTTAATCGATCAATTGCCAAGCACTGCTTAAAATTTCTTACAACGAGAGAACACACTAGCGCCATCTATCGGGTAGCTGCGGAACACTTCGTGGTCCCGTATATTTCCTCTTTTTTTTAGTGCATCATTCTTTTTTTTTTTGGCTCGAAAAACTAGTTAATGTTCTAAACGACCAATTCTCACGGGCAGTACATACATTCGACCTCTCAAATACTGCAAAACTTTCGCCCTAGTGAAGTCTAGTTCCAGGGTCACTACATAGATGGCACAAGCGTGCCGGTATGTTCTCTCGTCGTAGGAGATTCCAAGAGGTTTTAAGACGCTCGGTCAGGTATATAAAGTGTGCGAACGTGCCTTTAGTCACACGTTGTGGTTGTGTGCGTGGTACATGCTTGCCAACGTGTAGCGTACATTAAATGTAGATGTTGGAGAACATGCATCACCACTTACTACCGCTGTGGAGCTAAACTTAGAAAATGCCGTCGCACAATATTTCTCGAATGCTTGTAGAAACTCTAAATTTCAAAAAAGGTAAAAGTTTGAATGGACTGTGTTACTTAAAGGGATTGTCCGGTCGAAACCGGAAGTACTTAAGTTTTTGCGCTTGTTACGTCGAGGGAGCCTTCATGTAGACAAACGACATTTTTATTTTGATATATGATCTCCCGTTATTAATTAAACCTTTCATGAACGCATGTACGAAACTGCACCCCGAATTTCGCCAGTGTCAACGGCTGACATCCGTAGCTGCTCCGTGACGTCACAAAACGCAAAGGTTTGTCCGACGGTCGGGATAACAAGCGTTGGTCGATGCATGTCTTGTATTTTGTTTCGAATTTTAGTCTCCTAAGCTGTACCCTACTGAAATACGGTTCTTTTAGTGCAGTTCCCAAGCGTGTGCAAGAAAAGTCAAGCCTTTTAGCAGGATATTACTCGAAAACAGCCATAAGCTTCGAGCAAACGTATGCCGTTTCGTGCGAACACAACTGCGACGGCCACCGATCGAACTAGGAGCGCTTGCAAAGCAAAGGATGCACATTTCGCCTCTGAAGCGGCAACTAGGTACACGAAGCAGTATTTGGGTACACATTCCGGTGGATCCACTGGACCGGTGATGAGGCTGCGGGTCTTTCCCTCAAAGGCGATGACCGCGGGTCAAAGGCAACCGGCGAATCGTTCAAATGCATGTCGTCACTTGACTTGGACGAACTTGGTGAATCGTAGCCACGCTCTATCTATTTTCACCTGCGGGTCAAACCGAATTTTCTGCACGCTTGCTAAATACAATTTCTGGTATCGTTCCCAGGTTTCGGTTTCGTTGAGTAAACAAATTGACTGATCCGATTTGGGCAAGGAGTGGATGGACGTAGTTTAATATCGTTAGCACAGCATCACACTTCAGCTAATACGCGCTTCTGTCCGCTTAGAGCTCAACTCGTAGCTCTCTTCTGTGAAATGATTGCTGCATAAGCGGGACCTCGATCTTGACGGGAACCTAGTCTCTACGCACGGCGACGATCCATTTTGCTCGTCACTGCACGCCTCGCGGAAAAGTGTAGAACGTCAGGTCTTGGCTCGCATGTGCTGCCCGGTGGTTATGGCACCCACCCGCGCAACAAAAATCTCACCCAACCACGAAACAAGTCGAGCACAACAACAAAAACGAAGCACGCTGAGGCGTTCACTCGCAGGTAAACAACAATACAGAAATGCTCGCCTTGTGTTGTGTGACGTCAGAGCTCTAATGTTGCCACCGAAAACAGCGTTTACGCTAGAGTGCGATTGGAGCAGTATAAATTCAATTACTCGTGCAGAGGGGCATATAAAATTAAGATATTGCACGCACGATGCGTCACGAGGCAATAACAATTATATTCAATTGTTTTCTCGAATACAAAATTTGACCGGACAATCCCTTTAAAAACAGAATTGGGGCATTCCATCCACCGTTTAATTACGAATGCTGCTTATCTGTTTTTTCTTTTTGTCCCTCATTGTTTTTATTACGCCGCATGGATTAATAATAATAATGTAATGTCTCTCCTACCCACTGTGCCTGTTTACTGAAATAAGAACAGCTGCTTCCTTCACCATTTTTTAAATTATGTTTTATGTTAGCATTTAATAGATTACTACGTTATTTGCAATAGATTTAAAATACACTCATAAACTATTCATAATCAGTTTGCATTCCATCAAAGTGATAGAATTCAACCCTCTGCCTCGAGTCTGACACATTCCCGTAATCCCAGTTAACCCCTGAACCATTTTGGTCGAGCCTAGCTTGTCAACGTGGAGCTGTCCCCAAACCGTTCGGAACGAGTATGGCTCGTCTGCTTTCCCCGATTCACGCACTCGTCCGTTTGGGACGAACCAGACTCGCTCGCGACTTAGTTTCCAGCTCTACCAAAAGATGGCAGCACTGGCTTCTTAATGCACTGCTCCCATTCTGTTTGTGTCTAAAACTTTGATTTTGAATGCAACAAATTTGATATGACGAAAATAATTCCTGGAGAAGGGGAACAGGGGGGGGAAGAAGGACAAACACAAATCTCCAAACACAGCTAGGTGACTGGTGTGCGACCAGAAATTGATTTCGAAGACAACAATTATTAGGCACTTGGGGTTCAGAAATTTAAAAAAACTAGATACTGTTTAAAGTGGGGTCAACCTTTTTCCTCCCCTTTGTGCAGCCTGCTCCACCCGCGCTGGTAGCCCCGCCTCCTTCTCTCCCAGCCACGCCCTCTGCGAGCGGCAGCGACACTGGGCGGAGCCCGTCCCCGGCAAGGGGAAGGGGGTCTCGCTTGACAGAGTCCCCAGGGACCAGTCCCCGGGGCCCCGTGCCCGCCAGCCCCAGCATAAACTACCGACCCGACGTCCCGCTTCTGAGCGCTCCCGAACACCTCGAGAGCGACATGCCGCCCCACTACGGGCCCCCTGACATCTATCGGCATCCGGCCGACAAAGACGGCGTCGCCGACAGAGTCGTCAAGGAAGACGCCGACGGCCCGACCGGCGCGAACAGGGCGCACGACGCCAGACAAGCAGGGGAGAACTCGCCGTTGAACAATTGGGGTGATGGACAGCCACTGGTCAAGTACATGTCTACGGGTGTCCAGCAGAGCTGAGCGGGAGTCGCGTCGTCGGCCTCCCAGGTACGGTGCCCGGAACATATCTCCCACCGGCGCGTCTACCGCGCCCTAAAAAGCGGTCCCGCAATTTTTGCCCAACAACGTCTTAGAAGAGTCCCCCGTCGTCGCTGGCCGCAGTCCTGCGGTGTCGGGGCAGCCGAGATGGATGCAGCAGACCTCCGTTCTGCCGCGGGGTGCCCTCCAGCATGGAGGTAGGAAGCCTCCGTACGTGGCTTGAGGCCACCAGAGGTGACGCCAGAAGAGTGTAGGGACACGCCACCAACGATGGCCAAAACCAAGAGACGCTATTGGACGAAAGGGATAGCTGTTGAGTCAGCTCTCCTTTTCATCCGATAGCATCTCTCGTTTTTTGTCACGGTTGGGGGCGCATCCCTTCACACTTCTAGCTTCACCTCTGGTGGCCTCGTGTCGCCTTCGGAAGTTTCCTACCTCCGTAGCCTCCAGCCCGACACTCCACGGAAGCTTCGCCAGCCGAAAGCTGGGGCGCCGCAACGACGGCGACACCTGCATTTGCTCGTGCTTTTTGCCGCCATTTCCATGACCGACCACCGGGATACTGACATCCGTGGCACGACGCTCCGGCTTTTGCGATGTTGTTTGTCGCCACCAGGGGACCACTTTAGACGCGCGGGCGGGATGGGACGCCAAACGCGCTGGTTGGAGCCGCATTCTACGCGCCGTTGCTGTGGTGGCGAATTCTACGCGAGGCCGGTGCGGGGCGCAGATTGCACACGAGTGCCGCACAAGCGCTCAACCAGGACTCGTCTTTCCTGCAGCGGAACGCGAGTTCTGGCCGAACGCCGACGCTGCCCTCATATCCAATCCACGCCCCGCATTCGCCTCTTGCAATGCGAAAAATTCGGCACTACAGCGTCGCTACCTGGGAGGCAATGGACCTGGCTCCTTGCGGTGACGACCGGACCAACGGTGCCTTTTTGGCTGTTGTCTTATTTTCTTCGGGGCCTTACGTTGGGCCGAAGGGGACGGGGCAGCCCAAAATTACGCTCGCGAGGGCGGGCCGCTCCGAGCTGCTGAGAGTTTGGAAGCGGCGCTTACCCGCGATTCCGATGCGTATGGTACGTCGGTTGCTAAAACCTTGCACCGTGTCGAATATTTTTTCATTACTTCTCGTGCCATTTAGCTCATGCCGTTTCACAAGGCAGTTTCTTTGCAAACAAACGATTTTGCCGTTTGCGAGTTGACAACGAGCAGTCACAATTTGTACTCGTGAGGGTCAAGCTACGAAGGGTAAAAGTTTCTTTTATCGAGAACACATTTTTGAGATGCAGATCGAAAATTAGAACTGAAACCTTTCAAGTCTTGGTATGACGTACAAAGCTGTTTTATTACGTGAACAAACAAAACAAGGGGATGCCATTTGTACAGGATTACAACTCTTGTATACTATTGCAGATCTTGTACAAAATATGTGTATTGTGTATTAAATACACACTCAGTAAATACTGTTCATAGTGGACATAGTACATTTATTTAGTGTTTACAGTTTATTTAATTTCACCGATAGAAACCATATGAAAGGTCTTTGTTCATTCTATATTTATGGGGTTATCATGTCCCTCCAGACCCAGGAGTGTATGGTGAAAAGGTATAATGATATGAACATGAAAGCCATACTTTATTGAAGAAAATAGGAGATGTCATCAGAAAGGACATGAGGCCTTTAGAAACGTTTTGAAGAAACTATACAGTGCAGTCCACTTATAACGATATTGAGAAAACCGCAAAATCCAATCGTTATAGCCGATTATCGTTATATCTGGATCAAATCAAATCTAAAAAAATAGCGATCAAATCTAAAAAATTTGATCGCTATAAGCGATATATCGTTATATCTGGTATCGTTATAAGTGGATTACACTGTACCGTTATATCCTGAGGGATAGCCCACGTAAAATCAAGAGACAATAGGGTGAAAATAAGGAGCGGGCTTTCTGTGTAAAATTAAAAAGTTCAGAAAAACTTTTTTTAGATACTGTAAAACCCTTAATGTACACGAGCCCCAAATTTTTGCGAACCATTCTCTAAATTTGCAAACTTTATTGGGCGCAAATATTTCTATTGTCTGTGGAGGCGAATTCCAACCTTTAGAATTGCGAAATTTAATGGTTATGAGTATGACCCACTGCCCAATTCGAGAAAAATTGGGGCAGCGAAAATAAATGGTTTTACAGTACCTATTTCCTGCCAAACCAGTTAACGCAGCGAGGGACAGTGAAGCAAAGACGACTGTACTTCCCAGTCAGCATTGTTAGCTTATATCACGCATAGCTAACTAGCTGCATTTATGCCGAAATCTTCATTGATCTAAACCTTACGATAGCTATACTCTATTTCACCTTACGATATATTGCAGGAAAGGCTACAAGTGTGAGGTCCTTGCTCTAGGGCATAGTCTCAGCAGCACAAGCTCTCATGCCAACGCAATGAGCTCGCTCTTCTAGCCTTCGCTGCGGTACAACGTAAGGTGAAACGGAGTATAGGAGTGGTCTATGTTTTGGAGTTCAAAAGAAAATAGCAAATTAAGCCATAAATAAGGGTGGGTTATCTTTCGGGGGTGTGGCATCTTTCGGGACATTACGGTGGTTCAGGAAGTTGAGCATGTGACTTCGACAAGCTATTGATGTACTCTCTGAATTGGGGAAAAGGATTTCCACATTTGAGAAATATGTTCTCAAACTTTACATTGGTAAGGTCTGTTTCTGTTTGGCAGTGATGCACTTGTCATTTAATGCAGAGCTTTTATGTTGCACCCAAAGCTTTTTTTTTTTCGTTTTGATGACATCAGGGCCAATTGTACTAATATACTGTATTGACATTATTAATAACCTTGGTCATTGCTTGTGCAGTGAGGCAAAATATTTTGTCTTTCATGTTGAACCTTGTCTTATAGAAAATTGGGTGTTTTCAGCATTTTCAGGCACTCTTGGCTCATGTTTGCTCACAATACTTGTACTGCTTGTGATCGAAAATATAACTCCCGTGCCCTTTTAGACAAAATGCAAATTTTACATTTGCCATCGTCCTACAAGGTATTGTCCAGATAACTGAATAAGATACAATCCACTCTGTGTTCTGCTGAGCTTAGAGATGATCATATTACTTTCTGGGTTCCATAGTACTCTCTACTGTAGGGAGCCTTGTGTACAAAGCTTATTCAGCCTTGGTTGATTCATGCCTGAACCTCTGATGAAGGGATTTGTTTATTCATGCAGTCTCATTTTCAAGATTGCACCAGAAATTGATTCCTGAGAAAGAGCCAACATGAACATCCAAGTGTTCTGACTGTTAATAACTGGTGTTTACTCCTGTATGGTATTTTTGTTTACCTTTTTGGTGCACCTGACCTTGTCTTAGATGAAACTGACCATGAAGTGAAAAGAAATGTTTTTCTCATTTGAGTATGTTTTTGTTTGTTCATTAAATTGAGTCACATAGTGTACACCATCTGGCACTGTTAGCACAAAGAAGCAATTGCAGTTGTTTTTTTCAAATTTGATTTCTTATTGTATGGCTCTCCTAAGAACTGCCAGGGAAAGTGTTCATAAGGGACACTTACCTAAACGATAGAACTTTGGTTCCCACCAACACCTTTGCAAAGGAAAATCTGAAGAAGCAGTGATGTTCACACTAACGCTGTTGCACAGTGTACGCCCCGGACAATTAGTGCTAGCTGAAACACTCGACCTGGGCGTTTGATGGGCCTGCGATTCCCACGGTGCTGCTGAAGTATACACAAATATTTCTGAAATGCCATAAAGGCACCACGATATAATTAGTAGACTGACTGAAGAATGCTTAAAGATATGGTTGAAAAGGTGTAGCTGGCATAGCCTTGAATCAGACTCCAGAAGCGGATGGCTTGCACGTGCCATCATTCAAAAGGCTTTCCGATGACCACCAGAGGGGGGGAAGAAGGAGCTCCCCTCGTACTAGGATCCTCTTTTGTGCCTCCCGGATTCGCCGAGATGTCGCTATTCACCTGCCAGAGGATTATAGAAGATGAACCCGTCACTCAGAATTCCTACAAAAGCAGCTTCCCTCTCCTCCTCTTACATGGTGGTCAAAAGTATGCAATGTGACGTCAGTGCTACCCATGTATGGAGATCTCCGAAAAGTCCAGGGGCTTCCTGGACAGCCTTGGACCCTTACCAGCTACTGCCATCTTCATGCTTTGTTATAACCTGGACAATCTTCCTTCATGCAGTCAGTGCGGTGCTTGCCCTGAGGCTCCGACCGTAGTAACAAATATTTCTTGACTAGGGGTGCTTTGTTTTTAATTATTTTAATGTAATTTACACAAACCTGTTCGGCCAATATTGTGTTGTCATGAAGATATTAAATGAGATAAAGAGAAATTTGGAAAGTGAAAACTCGCTTCCAGTTTTATTTTTATATTGCTATAATTGATTTTATGTATTACTTGACGTGACCGCACATGGCTGCGCGATCTTTTTTTTTAATATATATATATATATATATATATATATATATATTCGCGACTCCAGCGACCTGTAGGGGGCGCCACCACCAAACAAACATGGCGGCTGAGTCCAGGTCGCGTTGGCTCGGCCGGGCCGCCTGAACAGGTGGCGCGTTCAATTTAACCGATTTTCTTATGTTTAATGCCCAATTTTATAGGTATTTGAACTGAGACGGTTAAGTGTAGCCGGTACACATAAACTTGCAAAGCATAGTTTTGTTTTCCCGGTGTTTTTTTTGTTCTTTTCAAATCAAACTTTCGTTTCGGAGATTTCGTTCAAAACCGAAACTATGGGCTCCGGAGAGACGGTTTTGATCATCTAAGGAAAGCGGCGGTGACTGCAGAATTGTTACACCGAGAGTAATTTTCAGCTAACTCGCATGCCTCGACCATGCGACTTATCTGTCCGCGAAATCGAGCTTTTGTGCGTATCCGCGTTTAAGAAACAGCTCCAGTCGTCTGCTCGGTCAACAACACAGGCTGCAGGAAAATTACGAAAATTAAGCAAGCGTTTCTTGAGCCAAAGAGTATGTTAACCCGCTGGCGCCCCACTAAGTAGCTGATACTCGTATTTCAATTCAGGTTTTAGTAGCAATCGAGAAGTCATTTTGACGAGCGGGTTATGTATTATATTGTGTACTATGGTCCCACTAAAACGATATTAGTATATTCTTCGGGTTGAAATATGAGCTTCGTTCACTACCTATTAGGCGAACTGCTGAACAAAAGTATATTTGACAGACAGAGAGGCTACTTAAACTTAGCCAAATGGTTCTAGCCGGCAGCACGGAGACAAACTGAACAGACTCTTCATTGGAGATTCACGCAGAACCTCTCTGCATTGAACTTTGCTTCGAATCCTGAACGGAGAAAATTAGTATTTTTTGTGGCTGGTCAACCTGAGGAATGCAGACGTATATTGCTGCTGGCTTCGATGGGAATACAATATAAATATTGGAGGCGCGATAGATCAAAATGCCCTGACAGCTTCTAACGTTGCGAGACTCGTCCCCCACCTTTTGAATACAGATAATTTCCCTCATTCATCATTTCCAGCGAGCAGGTTTTCCTGAATCAAGTAATTGCGAAATCAGCCAAACTTTTTCAGTGTGGTCCAGAGGCTTTTTCGGCGAAAAACAGCCAAGATGAATAGCCAACGCACCGACCGGCGTGGGTGGCTCAAACTTGAAGCTAACCGAATACAACCAAACTAAAAAAAAGCAGCTATCGAACTTTCCCATTCACTTGACTGCAACATTGGTGTTCCCTCCAGTGAAATGCCTCGTCTGTCGTCCTCAGTCCACTGTTCTACATCGTTATAAAGAAATCACTAATCAGTTACCAACTAGTCGTCACTTTCAATGTGGTTCGAGACAGACAAGAAATCAAAACGTTTTTCCGTGATTCCCTCCCCCCCCCCATCCAAGAAATCGAAAGCACGCGACCGTGTGCTTCGAACGGGCTTTCAAACACGTGATGGAAGGAAACAATCTACCGAGGCTTCACCACACTAATGAACTCTCAGGCAAACTTAAGAAATTTTTGGACCAATTAGTCAATATTTATTGTCCGCCACCGCGCCGACAACACGTGTTCGCGAAAGCCATCGGAGACGCGGAGGGGCGCGGAGCGACCTGGACCGGCGGGTTCCAGGTTTTCCCGCTCGGTGGCGTCCGTTTTTCTGGAGTCGCGAATATATGTGTGTGTGTGTGTGTAGAGTTAGGTGGGATTTAAAAATAAAGCTTATTCCAAAATCTGAAATTTTCGAAAAAAAAAAAAATGTCTGAAGCAATGTATTATGTTACGAGGTGCAAACTAGATCACTTGTTATTCGTGCTGGCTGCGGATGGTCAAATTTCGCTGACTGCGACGCAGCGTCCCTGACGTCACGTTGCTGCTGTTGGCGCATGCGCAGAGGCTACACGACGCTAATCTAGTTTCTGCGCAGGCACAGAAACCTTTTTTTTTTTTCGTTTACCCTTTTCCCAGCCAACTGATGGTATATGGGCGACGAAAAATAACGAAACATTTCATAACCTGCAAATGGGGGAAAAAAAGAAAAAAATGGTGGGGAAAAACGAGTATGGGGGACGGTTACGCTTATATCCTAAATGTAATCTATTGGCGTGGCGACGGCAAAACAATGTTTTCGCTTATACTGGAAGTGACGACTTTCAAGATGGCGGCGCCCTTGTGAAGAATGTATGGGCCGCATATGGCGGCCCGCGACTCTAGGATGCGGCCCACAAGCACCCCGCAGCTGCGAGTTCCCGTTCCCATGCCTCGAGCACAACGTGCGTCATAAATAATAGTTCTGGGCCTCATTTCCACACTTTAAAGGCCTGGATCGTACCAGTTAAAGGGACACTGACACCCCCCCCCCCCCCCAATTTATGTCACTTTTTTTTCCAGACGATTCATTGTGGTGTCCGAAGACGAACCAATCAATATTTTGCTACGGCGTTACACATATTTTTAATAAAGTAAAAAAATGCAACTGCTCGAAACTGAGGAGGAGAGACTTGGCAAAAGTCACGTGGCTGTGCAACCCCCCTCCCTCTTTTTTTTTTTCAGTCAACGTATTTGCAGGTTTTTAAAAGCCACAAAAATGGGTGTCATATTTCTTTTCTATTTTGAATATTGTGTGTGCCTAGCTTTGGTGACTGATTATATTTGATGGTTGTGTCTCAACCATAAAACAACGGCTCGTGACCACGCACGGAGAAAAGAATGAGCGCGACTCAAACCGGCCAGTTCTCGATGGCGGTTTTCGGACGGAAGGAAAACGAATTTCGAGCTGCCAATTGTTTTCTGGGTAGTTGGGCTCTGGATATGTCATGTCCAAATAACAACCTTGACAAGCATAATATATGCCGTCAGTGGCCCTTTAAGGTTAACTGTGTATATACATGAACACTTAGTCACGAAGTACGCAATTTCCGAGAAGCGCTCGGCCTGCGCGCGCACAAAAACGCGTTGGTTTGGATCGCGCTTTAGCGGCGGCATCCGCTGCCTGACGTTGCTTACGCCGTTTACCGGTTTCTAGCGCGCCAATTGGCTTCCGCCCCGTGACGTCGCCTCCCTCTCGCCTTTGTCCTTCACTACTCTCCTTCTCTTTACGCGGCGCGCTTCCCTTTCCACTGTGTTGTCCACAAACGGGCACCGTCAGCTTTTCCCTGTTCGTGTGGGTACGCACTAATAAAGCTGGTGACACCAAATTATGTGGCCGGGCATGGAAGCCGAAGAGCTTTATCCAACGCTTATAGCCTCCGGCGCGCTGACCGTGGGTGATTGTATCTTCGCCTGAAATACACAAAACAGAAACGAAGGAAGTGGGACTCTGCGGGTCATCACTTGTACGCTACGTGGGACGCCACATTTGGGATCGCGTGTCGGGCCCGTAGAGACCTTGTCCGTGTGGGCCATGGGCGTACGGCTGTTGCTGGACATAGGGTTCCCGGGATAAGCGCTTATTGCCATGGGCTAGCCGCGGCTCCTCGTCTTCTTCCGGCTGACTCGTTTTCCCGGCAGACGGGGCAGGAGCGTCCTCCGACTCGGACAGCATTGGCTGAAGCGTGGAAAAGAAAACAAAGTCAAGCAAAGAAACAAACAAATGACAAGACCTAGAAAGTGCTAAGGACGTGTAAAAAAATGGATATAATTTTTAAATAGATTGATTCATTTTATTTAAATAGGAAGTATTTGATTCAAACCAGATTTGCTCGATCTAAACTGATTTATTTGATTCACTGAAGGTCGAAAATAGTGATACTTTATCACGATATGTGTTTTTAAACGCGGCAGATTAACTGGCCGATCCGTCCGACGATCACTGATAATTTTGCAAAAAAAAAAGTTTAACAACATTTTATTGGTTAATTATATTGGAACAAAAACAAGTTGTTTCTTTCAGTGAGTTTAGCAGCTCTATCTACCTTCTCTTTCGCGTTCTGGTTTACTTTTTATAGGACATTACTTTCTTATTTTTCGTGTCTCTCGCGTTCGGATTCGCTTTACGTAAATGCCGGACGAAGCGGAAGGTAGAAAGAAGGCTCAATGCTTAGATTGCCCAAAAGAGCAATGGTTTTCGGTCGTGTTCAGCTGATATAAATATTCCTTCCTCGATGATTCTTTTATGTAAATATGAACAAGTTCATTTAGTAATTAAGAAAGCAACAGATGATAGCTAGATGGTCAATAAAATATTTCTTGGATAATTTTTGCGGGAAAGGTTTGATCATTGCAAAACTGGTCTGATATTAAATCATCGTAAAACTGGTCGGATATAAGTCGCGATTTAAATCATGATTTAAATCATCTTGATTTTTATCTTTCACCCTGTAAGGAAGTTAATTTACAACATGGGCAGGCACTACGTGTACCCTCCGTCGTCCGTGTCTATAGCGTGTTTTAAATCGTTATGCAAGGCGACGCGCGCTCAGAGAGGAAATATCGACGTCACAGGCTCACTTCGGCAGGTCATTGTCGGTCTGAAGCCGTTTTACTAGGATGATACTTCCCGTTCCGTAGCGTCACCACAAATATTTGAATGAACATTTCACGCCACGGCTAGGCTATAATAAAGTCAAGCGTCAGTTCTTCAACCACAGTCTAATTCCGAAAACGGAAAAATCGTTAGTTATAACGTTGTAGTTCATTAAATAACTATTTAAACAATGCCATATATTTTTTTGTCTAGCGGTTTCACTTAGCACCAAAGAGAAAAAAATTACAGGAAGATCCATTGGGGGATTCTTTGGGTATGCGTATGACCCTTGGAAACGTCACACATGTTCCCTTGGGAGAAGCAGTAACGCTGACCCCTTCACAGACATGTGCCTATCTCAAATACTCTACTCAAGATACTGTATTTCAAATATGTTTTAAGTATATCTTGGTATCTTGCAAATACTATTGATCCAGAGTATTTGATACTCTATTTTAATTACAATTCTGAGCACCTTTACTCATTATTTAAAATACATTTTTTACATCCCGCCATTTTTCGAGTTTTTTCGGTATGAAGTGGCGTGGGCGTGGCACGAGCAAACGTGAACATTCTTTCGAGCAACCAAACCCTGTTGCTAACTCCGATTACCTACGGTAACTTTGATTGAGCTCGTGAAAACATCACTTCTTTGCCGATTGTGACTCATATTTCAGCCCAAAGTTCGTACAATTAAGATTTTCCCCTCGCCTTCACAAAGGCGCCTTTTGTTTCCTAAAGTTTCCCCCCAAAATCCTCAAACAAAAGGAGTGGTTTTACGGAAGTAAAGGTTACCAAACTGAGGCGCAACGTAGACCGGGAAACGACCTACGACAACAATGCAGACTTGAGTTTCAAGAAAATAACAAATAGAAAAAAAATGAGAAGTGGACACACAAAAAAAATACATTTTTGTTTTGCTTGTATATTTGACACCGCTACGGCAAAACGTCGAGGTTTTTTGTTTCTTTTCGTGTTGTCGTCAGTTCGTCACTTATTGCTCTCGCGAACACTGTCTATAAACGAAAATTGAGGAGCAGAGAACAGGACAGAAAATGAGCAAAGAGCTGGATGACTTCTCAAAGTGCCAACAAAGCGTCCTTCAACGTTGAGTGCCTTTCTGAACACAACCTACTTGAAGAAGGTGAGATCACTGCCGTGGCTATTATGCGGGTTCTCTTAGTTATCCATCCACTCATATCCATATCCCAAGTTCGTTTATAGTGAACTCCCCTAATAGGGAATATAGATTGCAGTTAAACGATGCGTCTAAGGTGCACCGCAGGACCTGATATTCAGCGATGTCACTATTGGCGAGGCGCTCTGTCCCATTTGTTGTTCCCACACCTCGGTGTTTACCCACCACAAGACCTGTGCACATGCCCACAGGCCTTGTAGGCAGTGTTGGGAAGTACTTTAAGTACATTGTACTTAAAGGGATACTTCAACGAAATTTGAAATATTCCCGTCGTGTTCAAAAATAGGTTGAATATGATCCATAATATCCGTAAATGACAATCGCACGTTTGTATTTTGAGCCTGGTGGCTGTATTTTTCGTTATAAACGGCCCACTCTGGCAAGCACTCGGAGAAGGCCCAGTGGAGACCACGTGACATCCAACGCAATCGTGACGTAGGTCGTCTCAAGACGAGCAAAGCTACGGCGAGGCTGATGTCGAGAGGATGGCCTAGTCGTTCCAGCCACCGAAGCGGCTGCTTTTGTACGAATTTTGAGTGACGGGTTAATCTTCTGTAATCTTGTAGGGGGACAATAGCGACTTCTGCGACACACAAAAGGCATTCTCGGGAAGAGGGGAGTTCCTCCTGCCCCTCTTCTCTCGTCGTGGCCGGAGACGAGACAACCTCCGTCACTAGCTGTCAAGGTTCCTAGATGGGCATTACAAGTGAGGCGTTAGCGACATCCACCAGGTGCTCTTTGCTAATCGTTTAATTCGTTTTAAAATTCCTTTTCGTGACTTTTTTAACAAGATATTGGTGTGTTCGATGTGATGCTGCTTTTTTGAACACATATAGACCAAAAAATGAGCGACGAAAATTCGTTGTAGTATCCCTTTAAAGTACTACTTCAAGTAGGTTTAGGAAACTTATACTTTACTTGAAGTACATTCACTGAGTATGTATACTGTGCGCCCCAAACTTAACGCCGCCACGAGAGAGTCCGATTTCTTCACCATGGGAGCTATTCCTGAACCTAGCGGTCCAACTAGTTGATGAAGATTTGCGTCCCCGATGAAAAGCCAACGAGGGGAAGGTATTCCAGCAGCTGCTGCGACCGATTTACCTTGGGTAGCATGCAATAGATCAACATTTCCGTAACCGAGTGGCGGCGTTAAGTTTGAGGGGCATTGTACTTGTACTTTACTTACATAATTTTAGAGCGCAGCTCTTAGGCGCCCGTTTCCGGCTTGAGCGGCGTCGGCGTCGCCGTCGCCGTCGGCGTAACCGCGCGGTGCATTATGGGTAAATTTCCCCGCTAAATCTAGCGGAAAAATTTCCCCGCTAAATCTAGCGGAGAAATTTCCCCGCTAAATTTAGCGAAAAAATTTCCTCGCTAAATCTAGCGGAAAAATTTCCCCGCTAAATCTAGCGGAAAAATTTCCCCGCTAAATCTAGCGGAGAAATTTTCCCGCTAAATCTAGCGGGAAAATTTTCCCGCTAAATCTAGCGGAAAAAATTTCCCTGCTAAACCTAGTGGAAACATATTTGGGGGGGTCACGTGACCCCCAGGTCACGTGACCCCCACGTGACCTGAGGGAGGGGGTCATGTGACCCCACCAAGGTCACGTGACCTCAGGTCACGTGACCACTCCCCCCCCCCCCCCCCCCGAGAGCACGTGAACCTCAGTACCCTTCCCTCCTCCTTCTCAAGAGCTGCGCTCTAATTCGGCGTTACAGGGAGTTTTAAACGGCTTTAATTTTTTTCTGGTACTTTCTCATGAAAGTGCAATTCCCGACTTCAAAGTACATTCCCCAAATTTGGTTTTGTTAAATTTGTATCACGAAATGATGCTTTGCCAGCTCCGAAGAAATACTGGGAGAGATATTTTACTCTCACTAGAAACGTGAGCAGACAACGCATCACTCCGTTTGTTCTGGGGGCGGCTTTCCCGTAGCTTTTTGTACACTCACTACTTCTCGGTCGTTCAGCGCAAGGGAGGAGGTTTAAAATATTAAGAGAGCAAAATTTATCAGAATGTAGCACCCAGGTTAATATAAACGCAGTATATTTATCATGTTAATTACCCGTATACCATTTGCTCCTCATTTCATTCTCAAAGTCGGATCGCAGTCGACGCTAGGATCCAACGGAGCCAATCAAGCAGCAGGAAAAGTGAATCGTCATGGCGCTCCTCGTCTTTTCTATCCCGGCCTAAACCAATCACGCACAGCAAATGCGCAATAATCATGCGCTTTTTTTTTTTTTTTTCGTGACTGGTTTAGAAGGTGAAAGCAAATGCGGAAAGACGACGAATGCCACGAGGATGCATTTTTTTTTTTGCGTCTTCATTTTCTTTTTTTAGGATAGTCGGACTTGGAGTGAAACAGGTCATAAAGAGTTTTGGAGACGTTCAACATCTGCCATTGAGACTACAACTTTGACAACCTTACGCTCCGACGTTCACCTTACGCTCTCCACCTTGGCCCGCCTCCTCCTTTCCCATCTGTCCTCTACACTTTTTACCTTGCCTTTATTGGCAGTTTAGGAGAGGGAGTCTCTAAGAGAATTCCCCTGCTGAAAACCGAGGTTATGCTATACGCCGGCCTTTAAAAATTGTGTCGATATCCAGACACTCTCTCTCGATAAGTTTACAGAAAATGTATCCGCCGAGGAACGGGGGGGAAAGGAGGAGAGACGCTGAGAGCGCGGGGGTGTCGGAACGCTGAGCTGCGATTGAAATGGTTATAGTGGGTAGACCTAAATCTATATATCTGCCTTCGTCTCCGTTGCACTCGTCGAACGCATGATTACGCGGAACGCCGGCGTTCCGGCGTCTGGCTCTCGCATTCGAACGCGTTCGGCGACTGTAATGAAGACAAAGGCAGGCAGCCTTAAGCGCCGTTCACACTCTTGCGACCGAGTACGACCGAGAGAGACAAGACCCGTTTTTAAGCTTTTTGCGACTTCTTAGGACCGGATGCGCTGCCGCGGAGCTCGTCCTAAGAGATCGCAAGAGGTTTAAAAACCGGTCTGGTCTCTCTCGGTCGTACTCGGTCGCAAGAGTGTGAACGGGCCTTTATGTCTACCCACTAATCCTTCCAATCAGAGCTCGGCGTTCCGATGTCAACTTCGTTTCCTCCTCTCCTTCCTAGGCTCTGCGCATAGGCCTGAAAACGAGAGCCCCGGCTTACCCACGCACCACTCCAGATGTCTCGGAAATGCCCCCGGAAGTAGGACGTGACGATCGTCGGAATGAGGGTGGCTGGAACCAGGTAGAGGAGGGCGGGTTGCGCCGTCCTCATCAGGTACAGGGCGACGAAGGTGATGACCAGACCGATACCGTAGCCTGCACCGTGATCGCGCAACTTAGTTCTTGTGTGGTTTTATCGATCGGGAGAAAGAGAAACACTCCGGTTCGACTGTGGAAGTACAAAGTGAGCTCTTCTTATCTGATTGCACTATAGGCACTGGCAGCTGAGCAAACGAAGTCCCGAGCATCTAATTCTTTTTTCAGTTCAATTCAATTTGTGTTATTATCAGTAAGGTGCGGATATATAGAGCATATTACTGAAAAAGACCCTTAGCCAGTTGGCTGGTTTATCTTCAAATAAGGTATCTGAGACATAGAGTGAGCACCGTAGGTTATTAAAAAACTACACGGGCACCTTACATAAAATAAAACAAAAAATAGAGCGAAATAATAGGATCCATATTAATTTGACTAAACAACGAAGATGGTTATGAGGGTGAAGATGGAGCGAATGCAGCCTTGGGGGCTGCGGCATTCGCTGCTAAGAACCCTGAAAGGCGAGTCACGAAGCAAGGAGCGTGAACATAAAGAATACGCGTTTCTTGAAGAGATACTTAATCGGTTCTGTATTTGAGGAAGAGCACTTTAATCTTCTTCATTTCGCCTCCAGGACCACGAATATCGAGATTATTTTTCAATTTTGTGTACGGAGGTGGCAGAAAATTATTTTCAAAATATGCCGCTGAAGCCCCTCCTTCCCGGGGCGTGACGTCATGTTAGGAGTTTTCGGAATATCCGATCTCGCACATCTTCAGCGCCTGTCAAAGCTATGCACGCGCAATCTTGCCATTTTCAAAAAAGACAAAAAAGGCAAAAAAAAAAAAAAGTGCCTTGACTGCGTCAGTGCGGGAAAATATATTCACTGGCGGCCATAGCTGTGTGCGCAACTGCAAAGCGCGTGGTGACGGCGAGCTTCCACAGTTCTTTTGCAGCATGCATTCCGAACCATGAAGATTGTAGGTCAATAGCAGCCTATTAATTTATCTCGTACTGAGCATGCGCTCTAAACATCGCCCTCATATATGTTGCCCAGTGAATGCTCCCTATACCTGGTACGCCTTTGGGTGCCAAAACATCTGGGTATGACGTAACGACTAGTCAGTGGTTTTTCGTGTTTTCTCTTCTCGCGTTTAGTTACATCTTCTGAAAACACAAAAGGAAAAAAAAGGGACGTGATATTTAAATACACGGGATAAAACGACTAAAATTCAGCTCTAACTCTTTTTTCTTTTTTCAAAAACTGCTTTAGCTTTTTTTTTTTTTAAGTTGAGAGTTACTATAGCTAATTGTTGGTTGCAACACAGTAACTACAGAAAGGGGTTCGCCCAAATAAATCAACGATCGGCTCGATGCCCAGTGCGTCGAGGAGCATCGGGCGCTGGGCGGAGCTGTTGATTCTGTGCGCCAGTCTTGGAAAAAGACGCTGACGAATGCTTCTCCCTTTTCGTGTCCTTTCCGCGTGTCGTCCGAAGAACGGCGCGTTCGTGCTGCCGTGGTGTGGCGAGAGAATTTCTTCTTAAAATTCGGGGATCTCGGGCTTCTCCTGACGTTCTTACGTTGCTACTGGTGTGTTTAGCGTCGTATTCCGCAAATACATCTAAAGTAGTCCCTAAAGGGCCACCCACACTAGCGAGAAAACGCGCCCGGCGCGCCGATAAATCGGTTAAGCGGCAAGATAAAGGGCGTGTCTCTGCACGCGCTCGTGGCGCTGACTGTGCTTCGGCGACATTTTGTTACTTGCCGCGATCGGCGTGCCACGCGCGTTTTCTCGCTAGTGTGGGCGGCCCTTTAGTGGCAGCAAATGACGTCAGAAAAGTCGGAGTGTCATGCTGCAGAGCCGTGTATTGGGAGAGTTTGGCCAAGAGGCGGAGCAAAGGCCGCCGCCAGCGCCGAATATTCCCCCCGCGCTTAGAGCCTTAACTAAATTTGTGACACAGCGTCGACCAATCCAGAGACCGTGACGTCACAATATTGCAAACGACATTTAAAGTGTGAAATAGAAGCGTTCAATCCCGGCCTCTCTGCTCCATCTCACAAATGTCTGCAGTGAAGACAAAGGCACAGGCGCGTGAGCCTAGATCAGCAAAACGCTTTTGTTTGTACGAGAACTCGTGCATAGGAGGCACTTTCCAAAGCCACGCGCTCGTGCCCTTGCCTTTGACTGCACAGCTGATGTTGGCTTGCTAGAAGAGCGTCCTGAGACTGGCTGAAAGAAAACAGTGCAAAGGGTGGGGCGCGCGAGCGTCTTGAGACGCGGAGTCCCGCTCTGCTCGTGCGCTGGCTTTGGCAGTGCTTTCTTTCGCCGTCTCACCTGAGACGCTGTTTCTAGCAAGTCGGCCCTGGTTTGGAGCGCACGTTTGTTTATTCTACACCTGAATATTGGCGTGACTAAAACCTCACATGCAAAAAGTTTTCAGTCACCGAGAGGTAAACTTTTTCACTCTAGGGACGCTAAAACGGCTCAAATTAGTCGTGTCACATCTTTAGAGCACACGACCACCACTAGGGGCTGTTTCGCTGCCTGTGGTTGGCCCTAGGTGCTCGCCTATTCAAACCAATGTATGGCCAAACTCTCTCAATAAACGTCTCTGTCATGCTGTCGAATGTCGCGATCCTGGCGGTTGGGCGTTGAAGTTCTGGAGGGAAAAAAGGCACGAGAGAACGCGAGCGTCGCTGTCATCGCCGCGTCCCAACTCCTATACTGCGCGACAACTTTTCTTGGCAATGCAGTGGAAGGTACAAGCCCGCGTCCCCTCTCCCATTTTGAGTGTGCGCGGGCTCTCCTCCTCTCCCCGGAAATCGGGGAGGAGGAGAGCCTGCGTACACTCAAAATGGGAGAGGGAACACGGACCTGTACCTTCCACTGCATTGCCAAGAAAAGTTGTCGCGGAGTATAGCTGCCGTAGCTTCCGTGGACTGCCACACTGGAGAGCGACCTGCAGCAGCCTGCAGGACAGGCGTCCAGGGTTGCCAGGTAGTTTTAGCTCAAACCTCCAAATGCCAGACGGTGAAGCCCAAAAGTAGCCAAATGCAAGAGATTTATGTAGCCCAAAAGTAACAATATTCTGCAGAGTCCAAAATATTGTGCGCTGGAATGTGCGAGCTTAATTCGAAGGCACTGCGTCTGCATATCTGAGGTTTAGGAGCAGCTTGCAAGACCTACGACATCTTGAAATGTATTGAACGTTTCCTTTCAAACACACAAGTAGAAAAAATTTTCCACACGCGTTTTTTGTGTCATAGTTATGAAGTACTGGCACGTGCCCTGCTTACTCGCCTCATACATGATTTCCGTGTTAAAACGGGCAAAAACCTCTTCAGTAGGGATGATGTACTTACAGCACTCATTCTTCCCAAAAAAGCGAACTTTACATAGAAGACGTTTTCAAGAGTTGTAAGGGACATCCTGTTTTTTAGATGTGACTTTGTGAGGGACACGTGACTGAATACTCTCTCCACGGCGGCATTTGACATGGGCAGTGTCGGGAGCGCGATGACAAGCTTGGATATAGCAACGGAAACAGGGCTGCTCCTGCGCATCAATCTTGGCCTTGTTCAGAATATTCATTGTCCCAAATCTGTTCTCTTTTGTTATGGCTCATTGTGCTTTAAGAAACTTTCACGTTTCGTAAAAAAACCTCTCTTGTTATATCTGCTACAGCACGCGTTATCAGGCGACATAAAATTCTTCAGGATGTTTTGAGTTGCCTTCAGTATCATTTTTTCTCAGATCAGGTACCTCCTATGGAGGATGGTGGGAAACTCGAGAAAACAAGAGACGGCAGTAGGAAGCAGAAAGAACTTGGGAGCATAAAATAAGCAAGAATTGATACAAAAGCGATGCCGTCGGAGCTGAATCTAGGTCACGGTAGCTCACGCCCAGAAAACTTCACGCAGAAAATTCCTGAAAATGGGAATTCCGAAAGGGTGGACTGTCGCGTTGTGTCCATGCTGTCAAGAAAGAAAAAAAGGGCCACGTTAGGATTTGAAATAGCCCAAAAATAGCCACATAGCCAATCGCCAAATTTCGACGCCAAATGCATGACAAAGTAGCCCAATTTGGCTATTAATAGCCCAACCTGGCAACCCTGCAGGCGTCTGCCACATACACCACAGCTGTTGGGAAGCCGCCAGGATCGCGACTGGCGACCTGACACCTTTATGACGTCATCAAGCGGAAATCGAGTGACCGTGCTTTTTGAAGCGGTAAACACACCAGTAGGATACACGTTCCAGGCATCGTGTAGTTGCTACATATACAGTGCAACCAGCCAAGTAGAAAAGTGAGGTATTCAATCTTGACTATAGGTGGTATTCACTGAGCCTGCAGGTTCGATTTTGCCAGGGAGCGCCACCGTCGATTCGCCATCTTCGAGGTCGCGGTTTGACTGTCTCGGGTACAACTCGGGTACGCGATCGTACGTTGGTAGTGTGTGTTAATATCATATCGTTGAAGAAGGTTCGTTGAACAAAAGAGATAAAAAGGTTTATCTCGGGGGCGGGCCGTTTAAGTTTCCTTGTTGCCGCCGAGTACCGTGTGTAAAGGCTGAATCGCATGTTAGCAATTTAGCGAGCGACGGCGACAGGCCAGGGCCGTAACCAGGGGGGGGGGGGGGGGGGGGGTTAGGGGGTTCTGACCCCCCCCCCCCTCCGAAATTTTTTTCTGGGTACGGCCCTGGTCGGTGCACTTGCAGCCAGCCGATTTTAATCTCCACTTCTGCGCGCGCGCAGTGGCGCCGGTCGGCTACCGGGTACCAAACCGGGACCGGTTCTCCGGTTTGCTGCAACTCTCCATTATATGCCAGTGACGCACATGATTCATAGGCGAAAATAAGACAATAGACACTTTCAAAATGGCCGCCACCGCATGAAAACGACGGGAGCAAGCGACCAAGGCGATTAGCGATGTTTTCTAAAATCCGAAAACCGAGCGACGCGACGACCGACCGTCAGAAATCTCCGTCGTTCGTCGCCGACGGGATCGCTTACATGCGGTTCACCCTTCACTGTCGCTCGTCGCGAATCTCGGTTTTGGGATTTCTAGAAAACTTAGCGCTCATCGCCTTGGTCGTGTGCTCCCGTCGCTTTCATGGAGTTTGCCTCGTCGCGCGAGTGACCGAGCGGCAGTCGCCGTCGCTTGTCTCGCCGCTCGCCAAATCGCTTACATGCGGTTTTTAAATCGCTTGGGCTAGTGAAAAATACGCCGTGCATTTTTCATAAGCTGCGCACTCTGTGAGCTGCGCGGTATGTTTCTGCATAGGAACGAACACCGAAGGCACGACGTATGTACGACACAGAGGCGATGGAGCAACACGGTTACACGGCCGTAGTACAGAAAATCCGCTACAGAAAAATAATAAAGAAACTAGCAAAACAAAACAAAGAGTAATCACACCGTGCTACAAAAGCACCAGAGTAGAAAAATCAGTTCTTGCAAGAGCTACCGCCGTGGGCACGGCGCGCGACACGGAGCGCTTCATGGAGCCGAGGGAGCAACGCGGCCTCGGTGAACGAGTCCGATAGCGACGAAAATGAACTAAAACACACAAAAAATGCTCCTACGGCGCCTCAAAAACACCAAAGTATAAGAATAACCCCTAGTTTCGGTCAAAAAGACCCTTTAAAGTTGTAAAATGCTGCTAAACCACGCTAAAAGGTCCGGCCAGATGACACCCGCGATAGAAAGAGACCTCGAAGATGGCGACCGTGCTGGGCGATGCCAGCGAACCTAGCGAGTGACGTCAAGTGAATGTCACCTATTAGTATTGCGAACTCCAAATGTGCTTTGTAATCCCCTCTACTTAAATTCGTGTTTTCGTTGCTACGTGGCGGTGGTTCCCATTACTTTAGTGGGGCACGAGCCAGGTCTTCGTTTCTAGATTTCGCGTCTCGTCTTAGAAAGAGCGGGCCACAAAAATATACACGTACCGTATTTTACGGACTATACGTCTCTAAAATTTGCGATTTTACCCGGACAGGTGCGGTCAATGCGAGGATTTTTGTGTTCCTCGTGAATTCTGTTATACACGACTGTAATTTCCGTACAAGCATTGCAACCTAAATTGCTTAGTTTAAATGTTTCCACTTTTTGTTCTAACGTGGTCTAGCGCTTGTACAGTAAAATTATCTGTGCAGCAACAATCTGTACTCACTTATAACACCCTGGATGTAATACAGACGACCCATAGTATGAATGAGATCAAAGCCATGGCAGTAGGCAATCAGTAGACCTGCATAAAAAAGTATCGCCCAGCATACGTTATCAGAATACCAAAGAATGCAAGAACGTTTCATCTGTTTCGATCGATATGATTTTTTTTTATCGCGTTTTATTTTGAATGACAGGCACGTTATGCGTCTCGTCTATAGTCGGTGACAGGTTAAAAGTCCTCCCACCTCCTTCCACTTTAGCAGAGGGAGCGCTGGAAAGGAGGTCGCCTCCTCTCCAGCGTTGGCTCTGCTAAAGTGGAAAGAGGTGGGAGGAGATCCCCTGATCTCTTAACCTGTCAACGATTATATATGAAGTGCGAATAGTTTGCAATTAATACCTAATTCAAGAGCATAATCTGAATGCGGGTGGCAACCTGATTCCGAAATGCTATCTCGTTCTCCAAGATTCACTCTAGTTAATTCAAAAAGTGATATTTTGTTTCCTGCCGAAACCGAAACATCGTTCTCCCTAGGTGTTCCCCAGTTTTCCCCGCCGCCCAAGCGTTACGTCACTTGAGTGCAGCGAGGCGCGCGACCGGCAATCGGGTACGCTCGCGCCCGCCTTTCTCGCGTCTAACAGCAGGAAAACCTGGGCGTTCGTGCTGGTGAGGTTGATAATTATATATATTTCCACAAAGTATGGCCTTGGTCTACGTGCATAACTATAAGAAAGTAAAAAAATAAAAACGGGAGCAATTGGAATTTTCATAAAACCGTTTTGCAACTCGCTGCGCTCGAGCCGCGCCTCGCTAGTTTCGTGATATTGCTGGTAAATCCGTTCCCTGTTATTAGAAGATGGCCGGCGAAGAAAGGTCGAAGAGTCGCGGAATACATTTTTTGACGAATTGCCAAAGCACCGCGGAAAATGCTTGGAATGTGGGTACAGATGCCCCACACGCTCGTATGACCTGAAGGAATGTGCCATTTGTTTTATATTTTCTTTTGAAAAGTTGCTGTTGCAGGCGTCAGCACGTGTAACTACTCTTGTGTCGTGAATATGCTCCTTGGTGCTTAAGTAATTTAGTAAAAGATCTGTAGACCATTTCTTAAAAGCGCTTCTGGTCGTTGCCATTTTCAGCCTTTGTGCGTGTGGCGCGTACATTGCTCGCCTTCCAAAGCGATGAACATGTGCATGCTGGGCTGGGACACATGTAGACTGTGATTCTCGTAAACAATGAAATGTATAGAATGGAATGAACGGCGTTCGTGTAGATCAAATGGCAGGTTACTGGTCATGAAGATCGTGTTCGAAGACCATGAAAAAGGTAAAAGAAAGAAAGAGCAGTCCAGCTTTGCACTTGAGAGAAGATCTACTCCGTATGATGCCTGAGGAGGAAACCTTCTGTTTTGAAGAGCAGCATTCAAGAAAACAGCCATATCATAGTCAAAACGCCTCAGCATGCTATAGCAAAATATTGTAAGTGATAGTTCAAGATTTTCAGAGATTTTCCAGGGCTCTGGAACCACGTCGGTGAGTCCCGGCGTATAGAATACAATTTATTACTTTTTAGAGCGCAGCTCTTAGGGGCCCGTTTCCGGCTTGAGCGGCGTCGGCGTAACCGCGAGGTCACGTGACCCCCCCCCCCCCCCCCCCGAGGTCACGTGACCCACCCAGGTCACGTGACACCCCTAGGTCACGTGACCCCCCGAGGTCACGTGACACCCGGAAGTCACGTAACCCCCTGAAGTCACGTGACTTCCTTGAGGTCACGTGACCCCCTGAAGTCACGTGACCCCCTGAAGTCCCGTGACCCCCTTGAGGTCACGTGACCCCCTAGGTGACGTGACCCCCAAAGGTCACGTGAGCCCCTGAGGTCACGTGACCCACTGAGGTCACGTGACCCCCTGAGGTCACGTGACTCCCTGAGGTCACGTGACCCCCTGAAGTCACGTGACCCCCTTGAGGTCACGTGACCTCAAGGAGTCACCTATCCCTCAGTGCGCTTCCATCTTCCTCCTCAAGAGCTGCGCTCTAACCGGCGTTACAGGGAATTGTAAACGGCTTTCATTTTGTTTCCCCCACATTTTGAAGCCTAATTTTTAAATAAGCCAAAAAGGCTTATATGTGAGAATAAAATAGCCAGCCGCCATCTTGTGATATACCTACACCGAAAAAGCTGAATAAAGGAAGCACCATGTTTCAGCCAGTGTCTTCTTCAGTCATGTTTCTCTTTCCTTAATTCCAACTCGGGAGCCATCTGATAGATTACCTAACAACCGCTATCTGATGTTTCTGACCAAGGCGGTGGCTCTGGCTGTCAAGCAGAGCTTGCGCAGACTCTTCGACCTTGCTAAACGTATTTCTGCCCACACGCAATGCCCACAACCCGTCTATTCAAGCCTGTTTGTCTAACATTAAAGAGCCGGCACCTTTGGAAAATACCCTCAACAATCGCTACGGTAGGTTTTAGGTCAAGGAGTTAATACTGAGAACGACCGATCTAATTTAAAGAGCAAGAATTTCGTGAATCTTTCCACCGAGAGCAAAGACCGTAATGTTCCGAATAAAAAATTAAACGAAGACACCTAAGACTCCTTACGTGTAGGAGTGCGAAAGTATTCCTACACGCAGCGCATTCCTACAAGCAGCGCGCCACGTCTTCCTTTATCACTCGGTGCTCTGGCGGCGACATCCCGCTCCCTCACTGCGCAGGCGCGGCACCCCCGCCGGCTCCACGGCTTCCGTGACAATGCATCTGCGTTGCTGTGCTTTTCTTTGTGTTTTATTTCTGAGGCGCGTCCGCTTTTACCTTGAGCGTCCCACCAGTTTCCGTGGCGAAGCGTCTGCGTTGCTGTGCTTTTAGCCAATGGGACTTTAGGAGTCGTTTTTCGCTGCTACAGACGGAACTTAGGTGCCGTTTTTTTGCTGCTACAGACAACGCCGGCTTCGCTCAGGGGGACCCCAGTTGATGCTTTCGCATTAAAACGTAAGTTACAAAACGGAACTTCAATGAGCATGCAGTACGACACTGTTAACGGGCCACAACACGAATGCTTTCTTGTGTTACACTAATGTATAGTTCAGCGTAGGACATGAAAGCTTACCATCTATTTCGCACTCCACCCCCTTTCCCCTCCACATTCTCCTCTCTCCCCGAACATAATATTCCTGAGTAATAATATTTTCTTAAAACAGCGGTAAGATAAAAACCGGGAAAACTTCAGAAACGGCGTGTCAGTTCCGCTCTTTACATACCTTCAGAATGAAAGTATTACAGGTATTTGTCGAAGTTAATATTAATAATAATAAAAAAAATAACTGTTTTGCTGTCGACTATCACTTATGATAGTCATCGAAGCAAAGCCAGCCTAAATTTTATACGTTCTCAGTTTTCTTTGTTATTCTGCCAGAGCTGAAAGGCAGTCATCAAAAATGCACGCATATGTGTGGAAGTTAAAAAAAAAAAAAATGCTCCGCCTTCAGCACGCGCTCGTCGCCTTAAAGGGACACTGACAGGGTATTTATGCTCGCCGAGGTTTTTAGTTGTACGTGACATATGAGAGCTCAACTACCCAGAACAGAATTTGCGGCTCGAAATTCGGTTTCTTTCCGCCCGAAAACCGCCGATCAAGAACTGGCCGGTTCGAGTCTCGCTCGCTCTCTTTTCCGCGGTCACGGGCCGTTTTCTAAGGTATCGATGCGACCACCAAATTTAATCAAAGTCGTGGGTCACTGAAGGCACACACTCAATATTAAAAATAGAAAAAAATATGAAACCCATTTTTTGTGGCTTCTGAAGAGCTGTAAATACGTTGATTGAAAAAAAAAAGTTCCACAGACAACCGGAAGCATTCTGTGCGTTCGTCGTTTCGCGTATCGTGGGACTCGCGGGGACGGCGATGGCAGCGGACGACGGGCGTGGGACCTCTATTTCAGAACTGTCGTTCGCGGTACCGGCGAATTCTGTCTACTTTTAAAAGAGAAATTTGGGACTGATCAAAAGAATTGGTATTCATCCCGTACGACACGCCCGGCCACCGAGCCGATTTGCACGAAGACGTCGCCGAGCCGTCGCTCCCTTCTCGTGGCTGAAGACATCGCTCGCGCAAACGTCAAGCACGACGTGTCTACTTCGAGTTGAATATGCACGCGTACAATTTCTTTACTAGGTGCGAATGTCCCCAAAGCCCGGTGCTTCCCGACTTCGACCCGGGAGTGCTTTTGCCAGAGAAAAATCTACAGCAAACTTTCCAACTTACAGTTTACCGGCTGAGTTATTACTAAGGAAAGAGATCCACCACTAAAAAAATGCCCCAGTTGCTCAGTGACAAAGACGTCCGGTTCAAACGCGGTAGGACCGGGTTCGATTTCCCGTGAAACTTTTTTTTTTCAAACATTTTCCGATGTTTACATATCTTTTTTTCTTTTTTTTTTTACAATCATCACTGAAGAAACAAACAAAAAAAATAACAAACAAATGTTGTGGACGATACTTCGCTGAATTAAATGGTATGGGATTTCCGTTTTGACACCTGCGAACTCAATGTAATCGCTTTCCACAAAATGCAAGGAGCATATAAATCAGGTATCGTCCGCTTTCCGAGGTGCCCGTATATGTTCTACAGGAATTGCAACCAGCCATTGGTTTCGATCCCGTTGATCTTTCGGAAACTCTGTCGCACAATGCCACTTTTTTTCGGATGCAGGACATGTGAGCCAGCTCTTCACGCAACATCTTGGGTGTATTCTTTTCGGAGCCGATCATGGAAATTCACCACGGGCACTCACTACTCATCTCCAACTCCTTAATGTACAAAACAACTCATCTTGGAGTACAGAACAACGAGCGGAACAAACATAACTGCAAAAGAATCGCATGGCGAGCAGTTCCCGCACGCCGTATCGCACGCCGCATGTCGTGTCGTCTGCTACGGAGAGGAGAAAACAAAAAAAAAAAAAAAACGCACGGTCAGGTGTAGCCACGTGACTTCCGCCACCCACTCTCTTCTCTCCACTTCTCCGACCTCCGTCGGGTTTCGGTTTCGGTTTCGAGCAGTTGCGTCTTTTGGCTTTATTAAAAAAATACGCTACTCTGTTGCAAAATATTAATTGGGTAGTCCTCCGATACCATAACAAAGCGCCCGGCAAAAAATAAAAAAAAAAATTTTGGGGGGTGTCAGTGTCTAGCCGAGCATTGGATGAGTGTGCGACAGTGTTATCAAAGGAAGAAAACTCGCGCTGGAGGCAGAGCATCTACAGGGTGAAATGTGGCTTCGAAAACGAAACTGTATCACAAAGTATATATATTAAAAAAAGCCTAGGCTTTTACACTCCAAAAAAAAGCTCGTGCCTCTACTTTCCCGCACAACACTCCGAGAGTCAGTCACCGCAATTTACGGAGGCTGCTCAGTGAATCACGATGCCGAAACTTATGCTTAGACCAAAAAACGCAGTCTGAGTTGTGACATTGAGCAATGCAAGCGTGACGTTTAGCATTGCTTAATGTCACAACTCAGTGTGCGTTTTTCGGTCTAAACATGTGTTTCGGCATCGTCATTCGCTGAGCTGCCTCCGTGAGTTGCGGTGATTGGCTCTCCGAGGGTTGTGCGTGAAACCAGATGCACGGGCTTTTTTTAGAGTGTAGCGTTTCAGGAAACTGTCGCAAGTTAAAAAAAAAGTTTAAAAAAAACCTGAAGCTTTTTTGTTTTTGTTTTTGTTTTGTGTTGTACAGCATGAAACGTTTCAGATCTTCACTGAACCACGATTAATTCGCGGATGAGTATGCGCCGACGTCATGTGCACTTTAATGAGATTTTATTCAGATGAACTAAATATCATAAAAAACAAGATTGTTTCAAGAAAGAAACAAAGAACAAGTAGAATTTGCCATGGTAAATGAGAGGGGAAACTTTAAAACACGCGTGGGGGGGGGGGGGGGGGGGATTCACCAACGCAAAGATTAGAGCGCATTCACCTGGTATAATGATATCGCCGTATCCAAGCAGAGCGTATCTGCTCACGCACGCCTCCATTTCCTTATTGATCATGCGCGGCACTCGAAGAACCATGGGAATCATCTCTCTGCTATCGGTGCCTTTGGCAACTTCAACCATGATGCTGTCACCTCGCTGGAAAGACAAATTAAAGTTTGTAGGTACAGCGGCGCAGGTCTCGCCCGTGCAATTCTTCGAATGGTGTGTGTGTGTGTGTGTTCCCTGCTTGTATTTCCATATGCCCCTAGCAGCGTATGGACGAAGCAACAAAAATGGAAGACTCCAAGTTGCTTCCCCCCCGCCCTTTTCCCCAAGAAACAACAACAACCAACAAACTTCTTTTAATGTAAATTAACAAAAATCTATTATGCTATGTCTGATCTGAGTCGCGCCCCCACTGCGCTTTTTTAACTTTTTGTTTTTCATACCAAATGCGTCAGCGAACTGTTACTGTTCATAGCTCAGCGTTATTGAAAGCACTGAGATATTCGGGAGTGTTGACTCGTTTAATGTCTACGCGCTGGTTTCTTTATGTGTAATGAGAGATGAAAAAATATTACCGCTTTGGTTTTTCCAAGGGAGCCGGTCTCGTTCACGGGTTTCTAGAAACGTCAAAACGCAACATCAGACATTTGAAATCATGAACTGTCGCGCGGAAAAAATTAATTGTTACACCGATTTCATGTGTGACAAATGAAGTATAAGCACGACCGATCGCGGCTGATGTAATAATTGTTTTATTTGCCATGTTTACGTCAAGACGAACACTTCGCAAATAAGACACGGAAGTTGGTGGAACAATTTGTCTTTATAGTTGACCGGGAGTTTATTGCTCCGATTGCCCCGAGCTAATAAGTGCGAAGCACTTCTGCGGAATAATATCTGCAGCCATTATCGCGCCGAAGGAAGCGCGATACCCCTTCAGACGTTCAGAACATTGCGCGTGTGGCATCGACAAATGTCACACAGTTATAAGCACTCATTTGGAGCCCGTTGTCTGGGTCTCGGTTAGTCTTGATATCGCTTCTCATTTCACCGAAATAGTTGTCAACACGCAAGATCGGAAAGGCTTCGATACTTGCCATTCTATCGTTACCATCGAAGACAACTAGAATCGTCAGTGAGGAAGGGCTAAGTGAATCTATAGTGGTCGAATAGTACAACGTGGGGTAATGATGTAATTATCGTTATTAAGTTTGTTTACTCGTTAAAACTGCACGTGCAAATTAAAATCTCACCTTAGTTACATATGGCGTCAAGAAAACGAAAAATATATCATAAACAAAAAGCAGTACCAGCATCCAGAATATAATCTGAAAAATAAGCAGACATATAATTGATGCGAGATCAACTCTGGTACACTGCACTGATACGACACCACCTAAAAGACAAGGCCTGCGCGTGACGTCATCGGTAGTGTACCTGTCTCGCGCGGGTAGTGCTCAAGACTCGCCACGTCCTGAACGTATCATTTATAAAATAATAATAATAATAATATTAATTTTTTTTTTCAGCAGAGCAGAGGACAGAAAAAAAATCCGTGTAGTAACTTGTCAATGTCAGTCACCATATTTTTTTTTTTAGACCAAGTGCCTTAGCGATTTGTCAGTGTACACATAGTTCTCTCTACCTGAGTTCACTCTCCCCAGACCAGACACGATGCCCTCATATTCGCGGAGCAAGAAAAATGGACCGCTGTACTGACCATTAAGCTGGGCATCCGCAGAGACTTGAGCAGGTTGATGCCGAACATCACTCCGAAAAAATTCTGCAGCATCCAGGAGTACGACTGGTGCCTTATGACCACCCAAAATACTGCCAGACCCGCTGAGGCGACAATGAGCGCCAGCTGACGGATTTCCAGGGGCCCATGGAAGCAGGGAATGTATTTCTGCGGAATCCTGCGACGCAGGGACGCTTTAATGAATCTCCGAAGTTGTGGCTCGCAGGAGCTCTTATTTTGCGTGCCAATTACGAGAATTTTTATACATTTTTGGCCATGGTAGGCCGGCTTGTTCCTAATTATAATACCCGAATACGTGTGTGTGTGTGTGTGTGTGTGTGTGTGTGTGTGTGTGTGTGTGTGTGTGTGTTTGTGTGTTTTCACACCGATGAGTTTGTTATTGATCTTCTTTCGCCAGCGAGAAAAACGAGCCTTTACGCGCCCCGATGTTCACGCTGTCATGCGTAGTGATAAAAAGGCGTCCTCCCCTTTTGTGCACTCTCAAGAAAAAAGGGTGTAAAAGGGTGTAGCATTGCATCCTTTGTCCCATATAATACACCCCCAAACTTCAATTCGACGTACAGCGCCCTACAATCAAACAGACGGCCCCAAAGTTTACGAGGGGCTTGATAGCCGCATGGTACAACTTTTTAAAATAGCTAATGTACGTTTTACTGACAAGAAAAAAAAATAATCGGGGTTTTCTTGGCCCTACTGAAAACTCGGTGTTTTCTTTCTGTGGTCTTTGATAGGTATACTTTAGCTATTTTATAAGTTATGTTGCACTGTTATCAAGCCCCTCGTAAAATCTGGGGTCGTCTGTTCGACTATATAGGGCGCTGTACGTCGAATTGAAGTTTTGGGGTGTATTATATGGGACAAAGGATGCAACGCTACACCCTTTTACACCCTTTTTTCTTGAGAGTGTGGCTCAAACTTTATTTTAAAGACCACGCTTTTTTTGTGTTGTACTTATCGGCCGATATCTTATTTTCTGCGACGCGATGACAAAATGCTTTACCACTGACGCACTTTTTATCGATTTCGCGAAGGTCTTTGACTCTATCCCTCATCAAATTTTACTTCTAAAACTTTCCTTACTAAACAAAGGGAAAAACGTTATCAGTTTAATTTCTTTCTTTCTCACTAATTGCGAGAAATCTGTGTATAAGACAATACCTAATCTCATTCAATTTCAGTAAAATCCGGTGTACCATAGGACAGTGTACTGTGACCCCTACTTTTAAGTTATTTTCTTGATTTGTTTTGCGTATAACATCTGAATAGGGGACAAAGGTAAAGTCATGATGCCCGACAGACTCTAACCCCCCCCCCCCCCCCGCACAAACACACACATTGCAGCTTTACAAACAAGGTACAATAAATAACATATGCGCAAAACACGCCCAAAAACTGAAACGAAACAAGGCATATCAATATAAAGCATCGATTGCTTTAATACAACGGAGCGTCTCCCATAAAACGAGTAAAGAGGAAAAAATACAATCTACACCAAATATAAAGCGTTTCTTTCGCCTCCGATGTATGGTATAACAGAAATTACTTCATCATCATTCTGACGTGAAGCATGCAATTCATAACATTCCAGGAGAAAAAAGATGGGTTAAAGGTTCACAAAATGAGGTGATTGTATAAGCACTACTTGTCCACACAAACAGATTACACGAAAGAAAGTTCTATGATAGAAACTAAAATGCAACATCACCTGTCACCAGCATCTTTCTGCAATAATTTTTGAAGCTATAAAACGACTGATGAAAGTTTATGTTTATGCTCTGTTTTGAATTTTTGTTATTTGGAAAGGTAAAGATTCTTTCATCTACATAAATAACATACTCCCTCTAATTTCGTCATCCGTTAGACTTTTTACCGATGATTGCGTTATATACCGCCCCATTTTTCACCCCAAAGATTCCCAAATTCTTCGATGAGACATAAACATTCTGACCGAATGGTGTCCAACATTGCAAATGAATATTAATATCGCCAAAACCAAGGTTGTTTCTTTCAATCGCTCAAAAACATATGTTCCTTTATCTCCTATGCACAGTGTTTCAATGTTTACCGGTTTCCTCTTACAAATGCCTTGGTGTCACTTTCACAAACGACCTATCCTGGAATGCGCACATATTACTATAATTAACAAATCATCTAAAACTCTTGGGTTTCTTCGAACGCACTTTTTCCAGTCACTTCAGAATGTGAAGATCATAGCATACAAAGCTTTCGTTCAACCGAAACTAGAATATGAAAGTGCAATATAGATTACTCATCAGTGTTGCCTAATCAATAGACTTGAGGCCGTTGAAAACAGAGCCACTTGTTTCAACTTCCCCCGATGTCCGTCGCCGACTGTCGCGTCTTTCTCTCTTTCACAAGTTCTATCATAACATGCGATCGTTTGCGCACACCCACTGCAAGCCTGTCTCATACATTTCCCTAAGTCAGGAGTACTCTCTAAAGATTGAACCAATAGTCGGTCGCACTAATAGAGTCAAGTTTTCAACTCTTGCTCTCTCTATTACACACTAGAATTACCTTACTGACGAAGTGGCTACCGAATGTGATTCTTCTGTATTTAAAAAAAAAAAATGTTTAACTTTATTTGCTTTTGTGATTTTTTTCTTCTCCATTTGCTTTGTTCTATTAGTCTTTATTAAGTGATACCAATCTTTATGCCGAGGTTTTTTTCTTTTTCTTTTTTTTTAAATAATTCATATGTACGTGCGAACATTCCTCTGCATGTTAAAACTCTCTTCAAGGAAGCTATTTTTGCGCAAAATGCTCAACTCCACTTCCGTGATTTCCTTCTATTCTCTGTTTGCCTCATTATATTGCACTTACTAGAACCATCAATGATATATGTATAACTTTGTTCCACCTGCATAAATTTTGCTTATGCGTATTTGTGAAATTTATTAGTTTATTGCAAAGATGTTTCAGACTTTTTTCGCACTTCCCGCATGTAATACATTCATAGGAATGTCCTTTAGAGCAATGAACTTGAGTTTCACCACGCCCTGCTTTTTTTTTGTAAGCTGTCGGTGAAAATAAAACGTAATGCATGAAAGTTTTTTTTTTTTGTTAACCACATTGATGAAGGAACAAACCACAGGTGGTAATGGAGGCCTTTATAGGTGCCGGCAAAGTAAGCGATTCTGGAACACCTCTTGCTGCTCTTCCCGCAGTTTTCTGGCCCCCGAAATTACCTCAGTGAGCGGGCTGTGCCACACTCTAAAAAATGTGTGCGTAAACTTTCCTTCAGAACACGCAGGGACACTGAGAATAGCCTTTCATTTGCTCGTTGCCCCCGCGAACATAGCATCCTTCGGGTCTCGTCGTATTCTGAGCTCTATTATTTGCTACGATCCTTCCTTTGTCCGCAATGTTGGGCTACCTGTGTGTCGTGCAGAAAAGTGAACGCACGGGTTTTCTTTTTTGCTTCTTCTAGAATGAATGATGAATTCCGATTCACCTTAAGACACTGACTTTTTCCGCATCATCAAGCAGATTACGGCTAATAATTACTAAAGTTATTACGGTTCCGACTTATTTAAGAAATCGTATACTCTCTCATACCGCATTTGCAGTATGGGCCAGCAAGCTGTTAGGATGAGAACACCTATCGACGACGTGAGCGACCAAAACCGTCAACTTAATCGACCTTCCACGGTTGGCCAAACGCTCACTATGACGTCTTGAGTACGATGAATTTTGCGTTTCTTAATAGAGATAGGAGGGATGTCAGTCCAAGCTTCCACCGTGCTTTTTAAACACAGTCGAAGTTGTCGCTGGCAATTGATAATCGTGGCCGTGATGTCACAGATAGAAACACGATAGAAACAACAGGAGGGAGCCACGGAAACCTTGCCAACAGTCGCTGACAGCTAAAGAACCACAGGGCGTGTCCTAATAGGATCACGTACGCTGCCTTTACACAACACCGTTTTCTTAGGTTTTCCCACGTTACGTAAAAGTCACCCTAAGATTCGTGTCTCGAATGTCGCGCGCCAGGCTATCTCCTTGAACTGGTAACAACGCTTCAACCGCATATGGCTCGGTGATTTGTGGCGTAACCGTACGTAAGCTCTCGTTACGTAACGTAACGTATGAAAACGGGGCTGTGTGGACTAAAGTCACTGAATTCTGGGAAAGTAGTGCCATTGCCCTCCCTGCCTGCTAGCCGGACACAAACAGATACTAACATACAGACGGGCAAAACCTCTCAAGGCGATTGTCTAATCGGTCTTCGTTGCCATGGCAATCGCCAATTCGGTCCATTCAAATCTTCGAAGCTTCGACGGGGTCTTTCTAGACCAGTCGCACCAAGATCACCATGGAGCAACATCGTACTGAAGGCGTTCCTCGCCAACATAAGCGTCTTTGTATCCAATCAAATTATAAATCACGCCCAACTCCAAGGGTCTCTTACAGTGGTATTGTTCTTGTTGCGTATTTCTAAACAATAAAATTGTTTTTCAATGCCTCCAAGTACCGACACCGCATGCGGTGGCGGTACAAAGTTGTACGCTTGTTTCGCCGGTGTGTGGATATCAAAATCTCGGTATACAAGAAACGTCCCTCTAAAGCACTCGTCACCTACGAATTTAGATTGGCTCCCAAAGAATGGAGAGGTCAAGGAGAAATTGCTAATCTCATGAACCAAAATGGCAACCATACTGAGAGCTTGGCGCTACCTTCCCAGGATCCAGTGGCTTTCGTGTGGACCAGCATGTGGGATGCAAGCGAGAAGGACGCACCTGGTTGTTCCGATGGGTAGCCTGTAGATGAGCGGCTCGAACACGACGATTGTTGAGACTATCGCTCCGATCGCAAACATGCCAATCAGGAAGTAAACTGAAGAGGGTAGAAATTAAAGGGAATAATCGCAGGAGCGTAAATCACGTCCTATATATGTGTTACTATAGTCTGTTGCAGGTTGGCGAGGGCAGGACAAGCTCCTGCCACGATGCCTTCCGCTCTTTCCGTCTTAGCAGAACGAACGCCGGACAAGAGGAAACACAATAAAAAAACTATATAAAATACAAAGCCACACATCGAAAATATGCGTGTGATTCGGAAAAAGTTTCAATGACATTGGGAATGAAAAATAATTACATAATAGAAAAATTTGCAACAAAATACAAAACAGCAAATCGGCAAACATACCAGCAATTGCACATAGAAAATATGCGCGTTATTCGAAAAAAGTTCCAATGTGATTAGGAATGAAAAGTAATGACATAGAAAACTTTGCAAAAAATAAAAACAGCAAATTGGCAAACATACCAGCAATCGTATTCACAAATTGACACTTAGCAAAACAAGAAGCTCTGCAGAACCGAAAGAAAAAAAGACGAAACTAGCGAGGAAACAATTTCTGTTAGTCTGTTCCACTGGTTTACAGTTTTCGGAAAAAAAAAAAATAAGTATTCAAATATATTTGCTCTGCTCCTGCACTCGCGGGAGCGCCTTGGAGCGGTAGTCTGCTCCAAGGCACAAGTAGAGGGATGTCAGGATTTTTTATTAGATTTTTAGTAGGGAAATCGGCCACCCATAAATGTAATTTCGTTTTTTTTTTTTATATGGGATGTTTATAGTTTGTAGATTAGGCATCACCACAAATGGCAACCTCAGAATTTACTTGAATGCCCCTTTCACGTGCCAGTGACTTTATTCAGTGAAAGCCTCGGATACATGGATGCGACCTTAATGCACCCAATCAAAATATGACGATTGTTATTGGGTAGAGCAAGAAGCAGAGGTACTGGGCAAGTGCAATTAGTTCGTTCTCAATTCAATGCGCTACTGTCGGATTATGTCCTATTATTCTTTTTGCTTTGTTATTGATTCTTTGGCATTCTTATCGGCTGTTGATGCAAACGGATTAGCTGACGAGCGATAACAAGATGCTTGAGTAACATCCACGCACCGTGTTCCTTAAAATGAGTGAGTAACATATGCGGGGTTTTAGTGCCTGTGCACCTAAAACGAGAAAAAGACAAAAAAAAAAAAAAAGACACGGTATTATCATTTAACTAACCCAGATACTTGAAAAAGTAATAGAGGACCACCAGCATGCCCCCCATTAGGCAGACGAACAGCACAACGATGCCGGGGCTGATGTTGAGCGCGACTTCCTCCTCGAAGAAATCGTCCGGAGTCGGAGGAGGCCCTCGCCCCGCCATCTCCCCAAGAGGAGGCCCTTGCACCGCCATCTCGGCAGCGCCCTTTTCAGCCTGCTTTCTGGACACCCAGCTTTGGTAACTGCGGGGGAACGAAACACACCGACCGTCCCCTCGAGAGAAAGCAAAACACTGCGGCAGGTTCGTATAGCTTGATGCACTATCCACCTGCAGCTCTCAAGTTTTGAGCAGCGCCCCTGGCGGGGAAAAAAATCAAATCCTTTATAGGTCGCGTTTTTGTTGTACGTCGCATTGCGTCGTCCTTTCAAACGATCTGCTAGTTCCTGTGGACAAGCGCTGGGGGACGCTGACAGCCAGTTTACGCTAGGGTGCCTACATGTCTGTCTGTGTCAGGGTGAAGACATCCATTGTTGCCCTGGATGTGTCAGCGCGTGACGCTCTCGAGCGCTCGGTGCGTGACTTGGGCAATAAAATGGCGTCTATGCGTTAGCCAAAGCTACGCGCTCGAGCTGACTGACACCGGATTGCGCGCCCCACTTCAAAATGCATAAAAAAACGACTGGGCGGAAAAATGGCTGAGATGTCACCACTCAAGCAAAAGCGCGCGTGTGTATGAAGGCACTCTAGTTTACGCTCTTTAGTTTACGCACGTGGATCATGCATGATGTGAGACGCCGCTTCACGTCAGCATTAAATGGTCACCTCTCGCGGACGCTAGCAGAGGCGCCTCCTTTGTGGTCGCGTCTCGTGGTGGCTACAGCAGCGCACCGTGTCTGACAGAAGAAAGCCCATGAAACCTTCTATTAAATGGTACTCCTACATGGCTTAACTTAATATCTACCTTAGCTGCCCTGATCAGAAAGTCGGGCAAAGTGATTTCAGCCGCCGCCCGACTCAAAAGGTTTAGCTATATACCAGCCTTCATCCATTCAGTGTTAATTTAAACGTGCCCGCACATAGATGAGCAAAAAAAAAAAAAGAAAAAAATTAGAAAGGAAGAGTTACATCTATACTAATTTGGAATGTTTTTTTCACTTTACACGAGTTTACTAGCACAAGAGGGACCGAAGTATACTCGCACGCAACGCCATTGACCAAGAAACCTCTTTGTTGTGCTGTTTAAGGATAAAAGCAAGCTTTTTCTTTCGATCTCTCGTTCGCAAAGCTTGTTGACATTGCGGGGGGGGGGGGGGGGGGAGAGGGTTGCAGTATTCCCCAGAATGAACACGCACTTTCTAGAGGTCCGTGACCGAGCGTTGCTTTCTCAGCCCCCTGCGCGCGGCTCATATTGCCGCGCGCAGGGGGCTGAGAAAGCAACGCTCGGTCACGGACCTCTACAAAGTGCGTGATCATTCTCGCCCCGAGCACGCGACGCTCGAGCCGCTTTTGCCGAATCTTCCGAGATAGCGACGCACTCTAGATAAGAGGCTGCCCGCGACCTTGTCGAGTCAGTTTGGCCTCAGCGTTCGATCTTGCTGCTTCGCCGCCTTCGACGCCCGCGACGCTCTGTTGTTATCTTTCTTTCTGCTTTTACTTCTTGGGCATTATGCACATTGTACCAGCTATAAAAAGAAAGACGACATAAAATAACTCAAGATAATACCCTCGCCACACTGTAAAATTTAATGTCGCTTCCATCACACGATATTCTCCGATCATACAACGGGCACTCGTCGCAGATTGCTTCGTGTCATTCTGTGAAAATGACGAGAGATTTTGCCATGTGACAAGCGTATAAGGAACTTGTCCTAAAACAGTCCAGCAAAAATATCACCGAAACTCGCACACAGTGCAATCCACCTATAACGATAACATATAAAATGATGTGATGCTTATAACAATCAGTTTCTAGAGCTTCTAGACTCGATAATAGGTTATAACAATTGAATTTTCTGTTTTTTTCGTAATCGTTATAAGTGGATTGCTCTGTAGTCGCAGAAAAATAAATAGTAAGTGACTCCCATTACATTTAGCATCGAAAGACCCCAACATCCCTTTGTCCGCAGAGTGCCGACGCATCCTCGGAACAAGAATATACGCATTCTAAGCCAGCGCAGCGTCCGGACCTCCGCACTCACGGAAAATTCAACGCCAATTTTATGGGAACTTCTTTACAGCCGGACTCCGAAAAGGCCAAGCTCTCTGGAGGATAGAAAGCAATTTCTTCCATCAACCGTTCCAGCTTGTCGTCCGGTACCTCGATCCCAGCTTTCATTTGCGACAGTTCTCGCCTGAAACACTCCTTGACGTCGTCCCTGGTCATGGGAAGAAAAGGCACGACCTCGAAGTCCCGCATCCAGCGGGGCAAGACGTTTCGGTAGGCGCTCACGAGCATCGCGACGTCGCGACTGCCGTTCGTCGGACGACCGTCTGCAAGCATCCGCAGCGCAAAGCCCTCGGCGATGTCCGCGCCGTTGGTCACGACGAGAATGAAGACCGTCGGCTGCTCTGCGGTTATCTCAAGCCGGTCCCACGACGCAAACGCTGCCTGCAGCTGCCGTCGCATAGAGTCGTCTTCGAGGTCGAAGTCGTCGACAGCGATCAAGGTGGGTCGCAACAACGACACGGTGCGCCGCAGCCAGCGCCCGAGGTCGTCCCTCAACTTCCGGGCGAGCGCGATTCGGTGGGACGCGACGATCGTCTCGGCGAACTCGTACTGCTTGGTGACGATGGAAACAGCGTAGGTCTTGCCGCAGCCCGAGCAGCCGACGTACACGAGCACGAGCGGAAACGAAAAGTCACCGGCGTCCAAGTAACGCGATATTGCGCCGACCATCCGGTTGAGGGCGACGTCCTGTCCTATAATGCGCTGCCGCAAGGCCTTGCCGAGACCGTCCAAGTCCAGACGCGGGGCGTCGAGGCACTCCGGGTTGAGGAAGAGGAAAACGAAGAAGAGGCAGCAGACAAACACGCACGTCTGCAAGAGGAACCAGGCCGCCGAGATGGAGCCCTCCACTGGTCTCCAGCGGCCAGCCTCGGAGAGCCTCCTGCCACCGGTTCCTGCCGGCCGGCGACCATTCTGCAGCGGGCTTCCGACCCCGTTCCCGACGTGTGACCCGTCGGTGCGGCGCCGCCTTTTGTTGTTGCTGCTCGGCTCTTCGTGCCCGGGATATGTGATGGCGAAGCGTTTTTCCACCATGAGCCTTTTCTTGAGACAGAAGTCGAGACTATTACGGATCAATAAAACTCGGCATTCTTCATTCCATAATTCACTCATTAGTCGCAGGATAAAGCCATGGATAAAGCACTCAAACGTAAAACCCGCGTCGTTGGCGTCGTCTTCACAAGTCCTTCCCGACGGAACACGACCATCAACGAAACGTCAGCTGCGACCCGAGGTGGTGCACGTCGTCCGGCTGAAGCCGTATTACGACCGATAAAACGTTGGAAAAACCGAGCACGCGACGCTCGAGCCGCTTTTGCCGAATCTTCGAGATAGCGACGCACTCTAGATAAGAGGCTGCCCGCAACCTTGTCGAGTCAGTTTCGCCTCAGCGTTCGATCTTGCTGCTTCGCCGCCTTCGACGCCCGCGACGCGCTGTTGTTATCTTTCTTTCTGCTTTTACTTCTTGGGCACAAGTTCGCCCGATTTAACGTTCAGTTTACTCCGTTATTCGCCGCCTCATCACTTGTCCTTCATGACAATATATTGGACCGGAGCATTGTGTGAGCACTCGATTTGGGCTCGTGTTGATCAATAGCTCAACAAGCATTCGGGTAGTGGCCCGTGTCCAATCGCGGCAATGACGACAATAGGAGGACCCTAACAATGTCTGGTACTCAGCACGTGTCCTGTACTTTGCCTACCCAAGCGCGTGGCTATGACCAACATTGGCGGCATATAATCAGCTTTAGATCACGTGGTCGCTTGCTCTGGCTGCGAGTGGAGGGCATTGCTTGTATTTCTTTAATTTTTTCTGCGACGTTTATTGCTAGGGGGGGGGGGGGGGGGGGGGCCCGGGAGTATGAACGAGTGTTTCACTTGTCTTAAACGGCAGGTATTAGTTCTAAGCGGTATTCGCGCAAAGTACAAACATTATTCCACCGCCCCTTTATATATATCTCGAAGTTAAGCGGAATTTGATGACTAGGTTTCGAGTTTACTAAGAAGTTTTGAGATGTGCAATTTGTCTTGTGACTTCAATTTGATCATTATTATGTTTACTGTTACCTGATCAGCTTTGAAGCAGAAACCAAAACTTCAGTCAAAATATTTTCAGATACCGCGTATTGCCAATTAAAATAAAAAATAAAAAAGTATCAATTTTTTACATTCTTTTATTCATTACATACACATTGTAAGCCAGTGGGCGATCGTAGCTCTCTGATGATTTAGGATCATTAATCCAAGCGATTCGGAGTGCTGGCGTTGTCACAAGACGGTTAAGTTCCAGTCAACATACTTTTAAGCAGGCA